GGGGGGGGGGGGGGGGGGGGGGGGGCCAGCGCGACATGCTCCGCGCCCGCCCCCGGCCAAATGATTGGCAAACCCGTCCGTGGGCACGGAGCCGCCGCATAGTCCACAGTCTCCAGAGCGTGGGCACTTGGCCACGCGCCCATGACCGCAACCACGGTCTCCGTCCGGGCCGGGGGCCCTGGGCCGGGGCAGGGGGACCGGCACATATGGACTTTGGCCCGTGGAACCGGATCGCGGTCCGGGCTGTTGTTGCCCAGGCCCCTCCCTCTCTACACCCACAGTCGGGTGGGCGGCATTTCCTGGTCCTGTTGGCCCCCGCTGGGCCCCTCCAAGATCGGGAGGGGGGCTGATGGCGCCAGCTACGCCTATCAGGCCCGACCAGGGGGGCGGCAGCGGGGTATTGCCGACGCCGCGGGCGGCCTTATTAGAGGCCCCCAGGCCGCGGCTCCCCGACCACCGAGGGCTCACCCTCTCCCTGTGTTTGCCCCCCTCCCCCCCCCCCTCCTCCCTCCTCCAGAGCCCGAGCCCCTTCTCCGCCTGCCGCCGCTCCGCCTTTTCGGGACCCTGCTTTGTTCGGGGACCTCGCGCTTGCTTTCCCCTGCACCATCTTTTGATGCCTGCCGCTTGTGACACCCCATAGCCGGCAGCGCCCTGCCCTGTGACATCGCTCCGGCCTGTCCTTGGCCCTCGGTGGCCAGACCCGGCGCCAGCACCGTAACCCTCCCCCCTTGGCAATTTCTCACCCTGTGAGTCCCATTGCACCGGGCTGCAAGTCGCCGCGCTCCTGCCCCCCCCCTGGTAGCGGTGCACTCCGGCCCACTGGTAACCATGCACCGTCAGCTTGGCGTGGGCTTGCCGGATCTGGAAATCCACCGGCCGGCCCACCTGCAGCGCACTGTCACGGATCCGGCCGCGCGGCGTGACGACCCGACCTCCGACTGTCGGCTGGTCGGGCTGCCAGGGCGGCTCCCATCGCCGGCACCGGGGCCACCGCCCCCCGCCGGGCTGCCCGCCGGCCGCCATGCCGGGACTGGGGCTGCCACGCGGCCGCCCGAGGTGCCGGTGCTGGTGACGCTGGCCGCCGGGGCCCCAGGCGATCCGAAGGGCCCATGGCCCCGGCGCCCGAGCCCGGCCCCCGGTGGCCCTGCTGCCGGACGATCGCCGCCCGGGCTCGAGAGGCCTGGTCGTGCTGCTGACAGCTCGCCGCCCAGGTGGATCCTCTTCCTGGCGGTGCTTCTTGCCGTGTGGGCCTGGACGCCGGCCACGGCCGGAGCGCCGGTGCAGCCCGCTCGGCCGGTCGCGCCCCCGGTGTTCGAAGCCCTGTCAGCCATGGGGACCACCTCGCGGGCGGCCTGCCAATGCCCCGGGCCCGATACGCGAGTAATGTGCTTCGCGCGGCTGCGCTACTGCCGGACCATGGCCCGGCGTGGCCTGGTCGGGGAGCTCCTCCAGCGGGACGTGACGAATCCCGAGGCACCGACCTTTTCGCTGGCCCCCCGGGCATCGGTCTGCTATGCCTCCGGGTATCCGCTGTTTGCCTGCCTCGGGGATGTGCTAGCGCTGGCCGGCCGGGCGCGGGCCGCCCATGACCGGCATTCGGTCCATCTCCCAGGCCACGGCAGGGATTCCCAGCACAGCCAACACGAGCCGGAGCTGGCCCATGCAGCCGGCCAGCTGACCGACTCCGAGCTGGCCGCCGTGGTTCGGTTCCTCTGCCGAAGCTCCAACGAGTGCCATGCCCAGCGAGAGCCCTACTCCGGGACGGTAGCCCACGACCCGGAGGTCCGGGGCTTCGGCCGCACCGGGACATACTACTTCCTGGGCAGGCCCGGCGGGGTGTACAACATCATCACCGACTCCCTGTTCAGCCTGAATGCCCGGTTCATCTCGCTGCCCGGCTCGCGGGGGACCTACATCGGCCGGCTGGGGGCCGTCATTCCGAACCCCTCGCCCGGGCGCCCGCCCATCCTCATTGGCTTCGACATCCTGCCCGAGGGGGCCATCATGGTGGAGCAGCAGGTGTTCATCGCCACGCGCAAGGAGCGCCGCCACACCTTTAGCATCTTCATCACCCTGGCCTACCAGCTGGTGGGCCCGGGACCCGGGACCCTGCAGGTGAAGCTGCGTGCCTACAGCTGGAATGTCGTGGCCCGGGTCATCCCGCAGAACCCCATCACTTGGCTCAGTCGGTCGGTTGCCCAGGACCAGCCCGAGCGCCGGGACCAGGGCTTCACCGAGGCCGAGTGGGCCGACCTGGTGGCCGCATCCACGCGGAACTATGGCCTCGGCCCGATGGCGGCCGAGCTGCCACCTGACACCAGCAGCCGCCAAGACCCCGCCGGCAGCCAGCAACATGCCCCCCTGCTGTCGGAGCAACTGCACCCGCTGCCCTCCCAAGCGGACACCGACGATGACCCCTTCGGCGAGCGCATGGACCTGACATGGCTCGAGGAGCCGGGCCGAGGGCCGGACGGTCGCGGCGGCGACGGCGGCGGCGGCGACGGCGGCTTCCAGCAACCGCCCCCCTATAGCGACCTGCCGGAGGATATCCTCCACTCGGACCCCTTCGAGGAGGACCAGGACTTCGGTGATCCGCCGCTGGACCGGCTGCCCGGGTTCATGCTCACACCGGCACCACCGCCCCCGGCCGGTGACCGAGAGGAGGAAGAGACCGCCGAAGGGGCAGACGGCGAAGGGGCAGACGGGCCGAGGGGGGTGGCCGAGGCGGCCCCGGCGTGGGGCGCTCCCGGGGTGCCGGTCCGGCCGGCATACATCAACATCCATGTGACGCTGCTGCTGAAGCCGGAGACCGAGCCGCACGGAATCCTCGGTCAGACGGCCCGCATCACCTATCTGGACTACTTCAACCCGAATTGGAACACCTTCCACTTGGAGGGCGTCGAGCAGAGCTACGAGGTGAACGGCCTCTTTGAAACGAAGTTCCCCTACAGCAGATTCGGCCAGCCGAACAACGCCAAAATCCCGGGGTATGTGGACACGCCGACCCAATCCCATGGCAAAGATCGCTATGTCGGTGGCGTTGGTTGAAAGTCGGAGCTGTGGGGGGGGGGGCTGCTTTGCTGGTCGTCCCACGCACCAATACATAGGCGACACACATTCGGGGGGGGGGGGGGGGGGGGGGGAGGGGCCTGCCTTTGCTTCCCCGGTCTCTCGCCGTGTCTCTCTGATCTTTGGGGCCAGTCGCACGCGATGTGTTGGGACAAAAATGAGAGGGAGGAAGAGAGGGAGAGGGGGGGATGGGGGCAAGAGGGATTTTGGATGTATTGGTATTACACAGGAACAGACGCGAGCACGCCGGGTGAAGGGGACATGCGTCTGTCTGGGGGGGGGGGGGGGGAGGAGGGGAACCTAGCCGCCGCTTCACAGAGAGAAAGCACTGCATATGTGGCGGTGGCGGCGGTGGCGGCGGTAACGGTGACAGGGGAGGAGGGCACACTGACTTGGCTGTATATGTATATGCGGAGCTTTGTGTATGCTCTCCGAGGTGACGGGAGGGGGGTAGGCACAAGGCGCGAGGGGCACGCGCATATGGGGGAGCACCGCAAAAACAAGGACGGGGTCACCCTCTGCAGGCGGCCAGCGGGAAGGGGAGAGCGAGAGAGAGAGAGAGAGAGAGGGGGG